GCCTCAGCAACATCTGCAGAAGGGCAGTCAGCTTCCCGTCTCCGAAGACGCGGAGCACCAGTTCCAGAAACAGGCAGGGGCTCTGTCATCAGATAAGAGGGGTGCTTGCAGAGACGTCAAAGTGAAGCAACGATTGCAAAAGTTGGCGCGCCCTGTAAATAAAGCGCTCAAGAGCCCCCAAACGGATAGCCTGTTGATCGCTGTTGAATTCGACACGGTGCAAAATCTCCTGAGTTGCACCGGAGCCCTCCTCTAGAGCCTGCACGCGAGCATGCAGTGCAGCAATCTCGTCCCGAGGAGCCTCGTAGTCTGAATCCGTGAGGGAGCCACCGTGAGTGCTACGATCGCTCATGGCACTCAAAAGACTAAGCAGCAAACTTATGTGCTGCCCCACCCTCCCTCCGCTTAAGGCGAGCGAGGAACATATAATGATCACATGCTCAACAGCAAACTGTTGCAACATGGAAATAAAATCTTCTGTGTTAAAATCAAAAGTTCAACAGCAAACTGTTGCAACATGAAAATAAAACCTCTGTGGAAAACATGATGTTAATTTTTCAATACATGAAAAATTTTCGCAAATAGAATAAAGCGATCATCCCTTCGGGAGGATGTACATCTCGGGCTCCTTCCATGCCAGGGCCTCCTTGGGCCTCCTCGAGCAACCTGGTCCTCGGCCAGCCGAAGGGCTGTCTTCAAAGACTTTGCGGCAGCGGCGTCGACGATATAGTCGGGCACGATGCTGGTCATCGGTGTCTCCCGGGCTCCTGTCTTCTTGGTCGCCAAGAGCGGCATAGGGCAGAGACACCCACAACAAAGCAGGTGCAAAAGTACTCGCTGCCGGCAGCGCTTGGTCGAGGCCGGCCTTGCGCTCAAAGTCGAACCCGTGCGGGTTCGTCCGAGCTGCGCTTCCGTGCCTATCCTCGACAGCTCTGCGGATTCCACTCGTTCCGGAGGTGCTGATCTCCAGCACATGTATCCCTGATCTGTGCTTCGGGAGGTCGGCCATGTCGGCGTCAAAGCCGGCAAGGATCTCCTTCACGATGCTCCGGATCGCACCGGCCTGCTCTCCACTCAAGTCGCCCTCGGCCGTGAGGAAGCCGTCGCCATCGATGTTCAGGCCCCTGGCTCGATCGGGGGAACCTTGGTCCATTGCTCTTTTCCTTCGCCTGAACCTCGTGTCTCTCGGCGGCTGTGGCATTGGCACGTACGCTTGACACTCTTCTTGGCGAGGGGCCGAGAAGTCTCCACACCACTCATGTCTGAGTCCTGAGTCCGTCGTCACCGTCTGGACCGATTCTTGCTTTGCCTTTGGACGGGCACCTCTCTCCTTCTTGTCCCTGTCCGCGGTGTTGCCGTCGCGAATGTCCTTGGAGTAGCCGTCCTTCGTGTCCTTCGGGTTGCGCTCGCGAATGTCCTTGGGGTTCGTCTCTTTTGGGTCGTGCTTCCCGAGGGCCTTCGCTTTCTGAGCGCGCACCGTCTCGAGGCGGTGGATCAGAGAGTCCTCGGCGCCCTGCGGGGGCTCCCCTGCCGCGACGCGCTCCTCCATGATCTCCACAGCCTTCTTCGTATCGGCCGGGAGAGGGCCAGCTTGGCGGTAGTGAGCATGAGCGCCGTAAGCAGGAACATAAAGGATTCTCAGCCGACAGTCTTTGCACACCTCCCAACGTCCATAGGCGTTGGCCCCGGAGAGGCTGCCACGTCCGGCCGCCATTGGCTGGCGCTTGCCGTGGCAAGGCGGGCCTGCTGTTCGAGGGTCGCGAGGCCCGGCTCATATCGTACTCCGTCTTGACCTTCTCGCCTTTGTTCTTCGCCTTGTTCTTCTGAGCGCCCTTGGTCGCCGGAGTTCCGGCGCTGCTCTCGCCGGGAGTTTCCGTCACCGACGAGGCCATGTTCGCGTAGAGGATGTTGTCGGGGAAATTCGTGGGACAACCAAGCTCCCATCGAGTCTTGAGAAATTTCGTCTGCAGCGGCCATATCAAAAGTGGGCACATGTCTGGGAACTTCGAATGGCCGACCATGGGCTCATGCACTGCCTGTGGAACACACTCATGCACTGCAGCAAGGGCTTCAGAAGGTTCGGGAAAGGCACTTTGGGGAGCAGGGCGGTCGTTGCGAGCATGTTGCGCAGAAGGTTCGGGTCCTCGAGGCTGTTGTTGTAGCTCACCGTGCTTGTTGTCATCATCGAGACCCCCAGGCCCCAGGCTGCACCACCGCACTCGCGCCCTCCTTATATCCGGACAGGACCTGGCTCAAGACACTTCCGGAGAAACTCTGGGTGGCACTGGCCGCGCGCATCCAATCGTGCACGAGATGTAGCAAAAGGTGTCCCGAAGCACTCTCCCGGAGGCCTATGGTCACTCCAGGGTCGACGGCCTTGAACACTACGGTCCTACCCTGAAAGTTAATCTCTGCGCCAAGTTTCTTCAAGGCGCGGATGCTCAGGAGAACTGGGCTGCGGGGCACGTCGAGCGCAAAGACGCCGAGGGACACTGGTCTTCCAGACAAAGTCTGGGGCACTTCGACATAGGAGGTGGCGGTCTCCTGCTGGGCGTTTCCGAACCTGAAGCTTCTCTTGGCCTCGGGGTAGATGCGCACGCTTTCCATCCCATAGCATGAGCGCCTCATGGAGACCACGGCCTCGATAGCCTCGAGGCTGCCAACGGTTTCGGTCGCCCCACTGTCGATCACGGCATAGCCCGGACGAAGCTGGCCTGCCACTGATATGGCCGCCTCCACCTGGAAGTTGCTAAAGGAGAGGTCGTCGGACGGGCTCCCGGCGACGACGTGCATGTAGCAAAGGGGCTCCTCTTCCACGGTCTCCTCGGGCTCCCGGCTCGTGCCCTGCACGACGAAGATCTCCGACTCAGGTGCGGCGGCTCCTTCTTCGTGGCTGTGGTCCCCGTCTTGGTCCTCGGAAGTCGCCTGGACCATGTAGGTCGGGGCCTCGCTCCACGGGTTGTCGGTGAGCAGGTGGGCCGCTCCTGCCCCTTTTCCGGAACCCCTCTTGGGGCACCGGCGAAAGTCATGGTCCTTTGCGCCACAGATAAAGACCAGTGTAGGTTGCACTCCCGGGCTTCTGTCCACCATCTGCAGCCAGCGCCGAGGAAGGAGACGAGGCTGTGGACGGGATGCCCTTCTTTCCTTTGCCCTTTCCTTTGGGCACTGCTGAACTCTTGCCCTTCGTCTTGCCCTTGGCTTTCCCTTTTCCAGCCAGGGGTAGAACCCACGGGCGGTGTTGCGTGCGGCAACAAGCTGCCGGGACTCTTTGAAGGTCCGCACCTTGTCCTGGTAGAAGGTGAGGGCCTCCTGGAGCTCCTTGCCGACGGCGGGGTCCAAGACCACGGCCTCGTTCACGTCGAACCACGGCTTGGCATCAGACCAGTTCCACCAGATGCCCTCTGGATCCTCAGTCCACCAGTCCCCTTCAAGGTAGGACCAATAGACTTCAGAGTCTCCGTGCATGGTGCACCACGTCTCGGGCTCCTCCTCGGCAGCGAAGACGGGATGCACTTCTTCGGGAAGGCGGTCGCCAACCCAATGCACACCGCCAAGGCCTTCGTCTCCAAGCGGGTCGTCAAGAAGAAGACCCCACGAGCCTTCTTGCTCCACCCAGTTGGTTCGCTTAGGTCCGCGGCGTTCCTCGGCTTGAAGAAGGTCTTCTTCTTGGTCCCGAAGGGCCTTCTCGATGAGGTCGAGGTCCAGCTTGTTGTTGGTGGCCGCCAGAACAGCCAGCCTGGCATGCGAGGGGAGATGGGCCCTCCTGAGCAAGATCCAACCAAGAACCTCAGGAGGCAAAGCGTCGATCTCTTCCAGCTGGAACCGCTCCCACTCAGGCTGTGGGCCGTCGTCTTCGTCACTGTCGTCCTGACGCCAGCCGCCTCCAAAGCGGCGTCGGTCGGGGGGATGTTCATCCTCACGGTCGCCTGGGTGCACTTCCTCATCATCGTCCTGCGGCTCGGGCTCCCCGGTGGTATCGCTACGCCGGCGGTCTATGGGAAGGCCGGAGGCTGCAGTAGACGACTTCGGCGTCGACGTGGTTGGCTTCCTCGGTGACGTTGGGGCAGGCTTCTTGTGGCTTCCTCGTGCCCGGGCCAGTGCTCTCTGGAGACGGCGATAGCACTCACGAAGCTCCGTCGTCCACTGAACCATCCGCGTCCCAGGCTGTCGGCGAAGACGTACGAGGAAGTCCTCGAGGCGGCTGCCCAGGTCAGGCACCGGGCTGCGCCCTAAGCGCATTTCCAAGAACTCAAGGAGGTAGGTCGCTCCCTCCTTCTGCTGCAGGCGTCCATGGTCCAAGTCGCCACTCACATCCCAGGCTCTGCCGGTGAGGCGGCTTGCCAGATCAGCGCCAAGAAGGCGGCGCTTCTTGGGAGCTGTCCGCTCCCAGCATAAGCGCACCTTTCTCACATACGTGTTCCATCCTGCAGCTTCCCCGTCCCAGGTGGGGATGGCATCTCGATCCCGGTCTCGCCGTTCCATATGTCCTCGGGAAAAAAGGTGGGAGGTGAGCACTGCGATGCCCTGGATCTTCACGAAAGCTCCTTTCTCTCACGAGCCTTACCCTTCTCAGGGCAGGCTCCGCTACCAATGTTGGTAGCACGGTAGCTCCTAGAGCTAGAAGAGTTGTGAGGCAGCGAAAGCGCAACACACAGCACTCGCGCAGCTTCTGTCTTTTCCTCGGGCGATCTCGCCCTCCACGCAGCATCTGCAGCTTCTAAGCTGCCATGCCAAAAGGGTTCCCTAAGGATTTGAGAAGAAAGTGCCGCACACAAAACAGGTGGAGCTGTAACATGTCGGAGTCTGCACAAGACATGTCTAAGGCGAAGCTACATGTCCTTTGGAATTGCGACTAGGCGCTCCGAGGCCCAAGGGGAGGGAGGTGGAACGTTCCAGATTCTGGCTGAAGTCTCGGACTTAAGAGTCGCCCGCCCTGAAATCTCCGCCCCATGCCCTTTGTAAGGATTTTGGCTGCCATGGAATTTCAAACCAGCTCTGACCTTGCGCTGATCATAGCAGCTCATGTAGCTGCCTGAGCCCCGGGCTTGGGGGTATTAGACTCCGGGGGCTCTGCGTCTGCGGTTCTGGTTTGGGTTTCGGGTTTATTTGGGCCGTCGGCGTTGACTGCTCAATGCTTCGAGTTCCGAGGTCCAGGTGTTTGAAAGGCTTAAACACGGAAACTGTATGTTTGGGGCTCGAAGTTGGAAAACCCACATCCGAGACGCCACAATACAAGAATGCTTGGAAGCCTAAACCTTCTAAACCTGAATCATAAACCCTGGGCCAATGCCAATGCCTCCAGGGCTCTACAGCGGTAGGTGCGATGCAAATCACAGGATTTCTGCTCGAAAGTCGCTTGCTTCTTGTCGCAGTCGATCTTCTTGTCCTTAGGCAAGAGCCCAGGTTTCTTGCAGGTTTTGGATGTGGGGTTCGGGCTTCAGATCGTCGAAAGCTGTCGTTTCGCAGTCTCGCATAATGAAGCGAAAACAAAGCCCTTCAATATTAAGCCTTAAACCTTTGAGCGTCAACATCGAAGCCCGATATACCTTGCAGCAAGAAAAAGTGCCACTCAACACCATGCAAACCAAACTGCACACCCGGATCCGACAGCTCACGCACGCCCTGAGCCTGCAGGTCTAAGCCCCTGGATGACACCTGACATTAATCCACTCCGTAATCAGGACTGGCACAGGGATCTTCTAATCGTTTCCCGTACACGTTGAAAGGGTCAAGTCGAGCTCTTGTATTTCGAGGATGACAGGAGTGCTTCCAAGTTCTACATACTTAAGTGAATGCCAGGCAGCTAGAGCAAGCTCCAAAAGGATTGCCAGTCTAGAGTGATGTTTAGTACGGCTCATAACAACAGAAGAGGTGCGTAGTATGTACAAACCTTCTCGAAGCACAACGGGTCGCCCGGGAACGGAGTAGCAAGGGCGGTGTCGCACTTGTCCTTCCACTCCTGACACATCTCAATGGCACGCTCGGCCCCAAACCTTGGACCCTCATCCCAGACAACGGCTATCCTTCAGCGTCTCGTGCTTCTTGGTGAAGTGTTCCTCCATTGCAGTCAAGTAGTTGCCGATGGTTGGAACCTGGGACTTTGCTCAGGAGGTAACGACTTGGATCCGGGTTCAGGACTGCCAAGACCCTGAACCAAAAAGGTCTGAAACCTTTGACTGAAGATCCCAAAGCCCTGAAACTTTCTTGGGGCCCACACCGCGGTGCCCTCGGCCATCACGCAGGTGGTCGTCGGGTTCGGAAAGACCTGGGAGGGGAAGCTTCGAAGAGTCTCATAGTATAGAGTTCACCTGGGGACACTGTGGGAATACAGCCACATCTCCTGGACTGCATGCTTTCGGCTTCCGGCGTCTTGAGCTTCACACAAAACTGCGAGTTGGGGTTAAGGCAAGCCGGGCCACGTTGATGCTCTTGTACTGATCACAGATAGCCTTCTTCTCGTTTTCGAAGATCTCTCCTTGGCATAGCTATGCACTAATCACGGGCATCAAGCTGCAAGCTGAACTGCCTTCATCCGGTTAGCACGGAACACCCCGGCGCAAATCCCTGCAGAAAATCCGGAGCAAGTCCAAAGCACAAGCGTGCGCCAGGCAAACCTAGCTGAACAGCCCATACCACACCTTGAATCAGACAAGAGGTCCCAAAGGGCGAAAACCCTCCAATCCCCCAATCGAACACCCTACGACGCTACGAACCCGAACGAGATGAGCCGGGCCAGGTACTCTCAGTGATGCACGTCTGCTTGTAGGTAGACCACATGGTGTCCTCGAGTTGACTACGGCTTTCGACCTGTGGCTTCTTCGGAAAGCTCAGAGACAACCAAACAACAAGCAACAACACACAACATACAACACGCACCACACAACAAGCAACGAACGACCAAGACGACGACGACCACCACCAACAACAACAACACCACCACCACCAGCACCACCACCACGACCACCACCACCACCAGCACGACAGCCACAAAGGCAATGACAACAAGCACCATCGTAATCATCGGATACGTCAATGAAAATAAACCAGACCCTGTGTCCTGGGTCGTTCTGCATTCTGTGTGACCTTTGTCGAGCTCGGCGAGCGTATCTACAAAGTCCGTGTCGTTGGGATGCGGGCAGGTGCCTTGGCGTGTCTCATTAAAAGTTAAGGGCTTGGGGCTCTTCCTTACTCTCCTGGAACTCAGCTGATGTTCCTTCGTGGCTGCTGCTGTCACATCAATCTTGAAAAACAGCTTGATGTTGAGGTGAAGGACACATTTCGCGCCCAAAAGTGTTTTCGTGTGGCTTTCCCCTTTTGTCTGTCCTACCGGCTCCTGAGACCGCGTCATCTTGGCATTGGCTTGCATCTGTTGCGTACCACTCAATGAACACAGTGCCGAGGCTGCTAAGGTTGGCCCAAGCCGAATCCAGATCCAGCTGTGTCTGATTCTGCCTTGCCAGGTTAGGTTTTTAGACACGATATGAGCGGATGATCACCACCAAACCGAGCTTTGGATGAGTTCCCGGGTTAATGGCGGCTACCGGCATGGCTGAGGCTTTGTGATTGTATGGATGTGTTGTTGACTGTATGTTTGCTCGCGAGGCAGGAAAAGTACCTGGATGGAGGGGATCGCTGAGGCGAGGGTGCAGACTTCGGTAGAGGCCAGGACTGTTCCCATACTGACAAACCTTGACGGCGCCGGTGCGTAAGGAATCCCTAGTAGCAAGGATTTCTGCAGCTTCAATAGCCTGAAGCGTTAATCTTTGGCCGAAATGTTTGAAGCAGGGCTTGCCGAAATCGATTATTCTGAAGACCTTCGGACCTCTTTGATTCCGAGACTGCTTTACAGCTCGAAGGCCCTAAGCTCCAGGGTTTGGGGGGCTCTGGTAGGTAAGGGGTGTAGGGCCGTGTAGGGTTTAGGATTAATGCTTTGGGGCGCAGAGTTGATATGCATCCTGCCCGAAAGCCCTACCTCAAACCCTAGGCCCTCAGCCCCAACCCTCAAGCCGACGCAAACCCTGAAACCCTAAAGACCCAGGCCCCTGAGGGGCCTTGTGACGATGTTGGTCTTCATAGTCTTGTCGATCAGGCCCTGGATCTGGTCCAGGAAGCCAGTCCTAAACGGAAGGCGGGTTGCGGGCTTTGGGCTTCAGAGTTTGAGGTTCAGGCCTAGGTGTATAAAGCCTTCTGCTTTAGGGTCTTTGGGGTTGAAGGCTTCATACAACGAGAATAAAACGGCTGAAGACAACAAAAGTTGCTACTGGGCTTGAAATTCAAGATAATTCAAGCTGTTTGTTGTCAAGCTGTTACTTACTGGCCCTTGCACGACCGCCACCACTCTGCTTAGCAGCAGAAGCTGTTCCGACAGCAACAGCATGAGAAGCACTGCTGGTTGGCCATCGCTATTGTCGCAAACGGAAAGATGTAGGTAAGCATGATAATGCTCTTGCTGTTGCTATTTTCCTGGGCTGTGTTTCTTGCTGAAGCTGAAGATGGAAGGCAAGGCATTAAGGATTTTCCGAGTCTGCGAGCCTCCAGAGACACGAAGGAAAAGGTGCAACTTGGGACGCGGCAGGTTGCTCCCACCCTCTCCGTGCTTGGATTGTCTCAGCTTCGCCATGTTTAGGACGGATGCCTCAGGGTTTCAGGTCCGGGGACAGAGCGACCCGCGGAGCAGAACTCCGTCCTACCACTCAAGACTACAGCTAGAGCCCTGACGGTGGGACTTGGTAAAGGAACACCGTCCCGTCGGGCTGTTGAACCGCATTGAAAGCTTCGAAGCACCCGCACCCTGCTATCGGCACCTCGATGTTGTTCAGGGTCGCCCTCTCTGGCATCATGAGCTTCATCTGCATGGACATCTGTTCCTGCAGCACTACGGGTCACGCACTGCTGCCAAAGGGAAATGCCTTAAGTCTAAAGCCGGGAAATACCGGGGGCTTGCCTCTAAGTTCTGTGGAGCAAAGGTTCAGAGGAACACGGACTGCGAACCGACCGACGACAAGCAATCACAAACTCGAACCCAAAGTATCACAAAAAGCATCCAGTGCCTGCAAATTCCGTGAAAAGCCGCGGCAAAAAAAACCATGTTCTAGGGCTTTCGGTCCTCGATGAAGGTCATCTTACTCCGTCGTAAAGAGGCGGCATCTACACAGCACGGGAAAAAAGCCAGCACCCAAAGTGCCGACCGCTGCATTGTAACCATGTCCTCGGGCGGTTTCGTGCTTCAGGTTTTCAGAATCCTTTCATAATTCGTTTTTCTTAAACCCGAAAGCCAAAGAGTATACGAGTATACGAGTGACGGGGGCTCCCGGGATTCTGATTGGAGTTTACGGGTGGGGATTCCCCATCGCACTCAGCGGAATGTCTGCTACAACGTTTGCGAGGTCGCTCAGCCTCCCATGGTTCGAGAAATCCATGTCTTTTTCGGTTCGGAGGGCTCCAAGGACTTCTTTGCAGGTTCCGGAGATGGTCCTTGTACGTTCCGGTCTCAACTCATGGGGCTTAGGCTCCAGGGTTAAATCTAAGTGGTCTATCGAGTTTTACAATGTCTAGGCTCCAGACGCCTTGTGAAAGATGTGATGTCGGCCGCATTCCCCGTTGGACTGAGCCCACGGCGGAGAAAAACGTGCGCCCACCCAAAGGCCACTCGGCACGTCTTCTCGTCTGTGAGCCGAGTTGCACGACACAAATTTTCAGTGCTGCGAAGAGTCGAAGGTGTAAGAGACCCACGTAAGTCGTCAAGGTCTTTGGGGGTGAAGGCTTTGCTGGCCGGAAGACACATATGCAAACCCTGGGCTCGAACACCCGAATCCTACTGAGTTCAGTGCCAAATACTCAGAGACCTGCGCCCACGAAAGGATCCCTCTCTTCTCGACGGGAGGCCTCTCAGACCACCCAACGCCCAAAATGCCCAAACCGACCGGGAAGTCTAAGGCCTTTTTCTTTCGGTGCTGTCGGCTCTCAGGCTCGTGGAGGCCGCCGAAGCACCTCGGAAGAGCCTCGGAATGTGAAGTGGGCTCTTCTGCAAGCCTTTCGGGGCTTTTATGAGCATTGAAACCGAGGGTTACTGGCATTTGGGAGGGGTTGAAGGGATCAGAGCGAAGCTCAACCCCTTGCGAGCAAAGTGGCTGGCAAAGAACCTGGGCGGTGATGGTGATCAGCTTGTGTTTCTGGGCTGGTGATTGGCCGCGGCTGCTCCAAGAAATTGAGCAAACCCACTTTAGACTGGCACCTGTGCTCATCAGTGGTGCAGGAGCTGTAGCAGCTGCAGCTAGAAAGAGGTCAAAGCTGAAGACGCGTCGCTTCCGGCGATGCCATTTTCAAGATACCACGACGAGGCCGAGCCGACCCGATATCGGTTCCCTGGTTCGCGCTTTTTTGGGGGGGCTGAAGAGCCCAGTTGCACCAGAAGGCCGATGGACCTCCGGACCTCCCTGCTGAAGATTTCGATGATCACTTCGAGGTCGCACAGTAGATGTGGAAATGTGTGACCGTCAAGAGGCTGCACATCCACCAGCCATTGCAGAAGCCGCATGGAGGTGCTTGTCAGGGAAACCTCCTTGACTTTCGATTCTCGAGGTTTTCAAGCCGCTCCAGAATCTTCGGCCGCGAAGGTGGCAACCAGGGAGCCGACAGCACGGATGCCGGCGTCAGGGTGCCCGGCCAGTGCCCAGTCGGGAAGCGCCGACGCATCGGCCACCCAGAGGCCCCTCACCCCACGCAGCCCGAGCCGAGCGTCCAGCACCTTCCCAAGGCGGCAAGTTCCCATCGGGTGCTGCCAGGAACCCAGAAATTGAGCGCAATGCCGTCCGGCGACATCGTCCTTCATCAAGTCTTCATAGGAAGGCTCGAAGGACAGCTCTGGCCAGGCTTTCTGCAGTACGCCGTAAAGTTCCCGGAGCCCATGGAGGAGGGATGCCACATCTGAGGCATTGCCTGCAAAGGGATCCAAAAGCACTCCGGGAGGCTCGGACGGGTCCATGGAGCGTGCCAGCACGCGGCCCGCACTGCGGCTCCGGAGTAAAATCAGAAAGCTCTTCAGCTCGAGACGGCCGCCCTTGGTGCATCGCGGAAGCATCTGGAGCTCCAGCCTCGGCCTTGAGCGGCCCGGCGAGTGCCCCAAGCGGGAGTAGAAGGCATAGAGGCTCCCGCGGCTCGGTGCACCGAGCGGCTCCGTGCAAGGCAGCGGCGTTCTTAATTGGAAAGCAAGGTACTGGTGATCCTGGAGGTGGCCACCCACTGCCGGGCTCTCCACTTCTAGCTTGATCCCCAAACGCTGCGCGTCCTCGCGGCTGCCGATCCCTGAACGCTGAAGGAGAGCCGGGGTCTGCAAGGCACCAGCGCTCACAACGACGCCATGCCGGCAGCGAGCCACCGCCTGGCGGCCGTTCGAGCCGCTCGGGCCCGCGCGGCCGACCGAGACTGCGCGCGCGCGGCCGCTTTCCAAAATGATTTTCGCCACGTGCGCCTGCAACACGACTCGGACTCCCTCTCCTGCATCTCCTCGCTCTCCTCCCTCTCCCAGCTGAGACTTCTCGGCACCAAGGGCGCAGTGGTAGGACGACGGCCCAAGAGACATGTGCCGGCAGCGCGCAATCCGCTGGGTGGGGCCAACAGAGGCACTGTGCCTGGGCACTGCAACAACCCCTACCACCGACTTGGACATTCTTGGAACCCGGTACGGTGCCTCAGACCAATCGATTCGGAGCCTCAAGGCTTCAAACGGACTTAGCATCGGGCACTTCTGAGGGTTACGTGATCTCCTGCTTCCAACTAGCCTCAAACTTCAGACTACATGGACGAAACATAGCTCAAACGGATGGCGAAATATTAAATAGCTTGGAAGGCGCGGACCTGACTTCTAAACCCGCGAGACTTTCAAATCAGGTCCATAGAACCTTTTTCATGTAAAGTCTAGAAAAAGGAGCTTTCAACAGCCCAACATGTGCAGCACGAAGAACATCAATCCTTGTTGTATTTCAAAGGCGCCACGACATCGAGGCATTCTGCCGGAAGGGAACGCTGGCCTCTGCGAGAGCGTCCAGGATGGCTGCCTGCTCCGCTTCCGGGTTTCACGGGCTTTTCCATAGGCGTCCCCAGCGCATGATGATGGAAGTCGTGAAGGAAGGGCATCCACAGCTTTCCCTAAACCCCAAGCACCGTTAAACCCCAAAAAAGGCGCCAGAATTTTGCCGTTTTACGTTTGTCATAAGGGCAGGGCACAAATGAAGACCGGAGTTTGAAAGGTTCAAAGCTTCCCGAAACCCCCAAACCTACGACCTAGACTTAACACACAAACCCAACCCTGAATCCGAAACCTCCAAAGCCTGAACCCAAAAAAACCAAGAGTTTAAAGTGTTGGATGTACCTCATATCAAGGATCCTAACAAGGTGTCGAGTCTAAAAAAGCTTGCCCATCAGAGCGACTCCTGGCCTGCCACGGAGACCTCCCACCGTCCAAATCCTCGGCGTGCATCTCCAGATCCGCCTCCACATCTTCGTAAGCCTTCAAAACCACCTGACTTTCACGGGGCAGAGGGTTCCGGTCTAGAGTCCCGCTTCAGGGCTTAGGGCTGCCGGAAGGTATAGTATTAGTGGCGGCAATCGAATTCTGAAGACATTCATACTGGCGGAACGCTACCTCAGGGTCGAAGGGGAGGTAGGTCCGTGTGTAGTAGCGGCCATTCACGGAGGAGGTGCCGCCCAGGCCGCGGCCATGGATGATCTGCGTTGCTCGCGTCACTTTGCCCAAGCCCCACTCGATGTCGTTCACATACCTTAGCACTTCGAGCATCTAGGGTTTGGAAGGATTAGGATTTGTGTCCTGGGCCTTTCTGGCCTAGCCAAAGGCAAGCCTGATCGCAAGAAGATTTCGAGACGACGTTTGCCGGTTTATGGTTCAGGGTTTTGCAGCGTGGACCTGAATCCTGGCCCCGTAAATAAATATCATTTCTGGCACCGCTTAGATCTACACAAGGTTCGGGGCTCTTCGGGTTCATGTGTTTCGGGCTCCAGGGCGGATAGCACCGATGTTGCTGTGCTGCTGGTATTTTCGATGCGGCCACTCCGCCAACGACAAAGCCTACGACGACCACCAATCCACCAATTGCCACTACAAAAAAAGATGCAGCTTCTCCACCACCACCACCGCTAACATGAGCTACTGCGGATACTGCCAGATTTTCTTGCCGTCATCAGCACCATCATCCTCAATATGATCATCATCGCATTTGGACTGTCGTTTCTGAGCATACCGATGAGTGCCGAAGTTGCCAGTGATCGGCTTGCTCCGGTGCAGAAGGGTTGGGGTGGGAGTCCACCCCGCCAGCATACCCTCAGAGAACTGGGTCTTTTGGAAGGTCGGTTCTGGGTTCCTGGCTTTGGGGCAGATATGGTCAAAATGACCAAATAAGACAACGAATGGACTTATGCCACGGACAACTAGAAAAACAAAAGAGGAATGATCGTCAAACAATGATGGTAACCGCTCTAAAGGACTGGCGCTTATGCTGAGAGCCGTAAACTCAGAAAAGCCGCAACAATCATCACCATCATCATCATCACAGTAATCGTCTCCTCGTAAGGATACCATCATACTAGTCTGCCACGCTCGCAATAGTCAGAAGCAGAACCAAAAGCAGCAAACAGAATCAGACCAGCATAATTGGAGGCGTCAATACAGCATCGAAGCCGAGACTTGGGGTCTGCCTTCGTGCGATGACGATACATCATGCACACTTCATGCACATGCATGAAGTCTTGGAAGTAAGAGGTTCAGGAGTCTGGAATCTCGACACCCTGCACCCAGACAACCAAATAACCCTGAAGTCAGAAGCCCGAAACCTCAGATTCTTGGACTCTGAACCCTCAACCCTAGTGTTTGCTGAATTGTCAAGTCAAGCATCCGATTCCACCGGACTCGAGCAAAGCCACCGAGAAGCCGCGACGGGCCAGCCGCGAGGCGGCCACACTGCCGGCAGAGCCTGCGCCCACCTTATTGTCTAGATGGTTTGGTTCTCTTGTTTTGTTTGGGTTCAGTCAGCTCTGGTCGCCTTACTGGATTTGGTCGGAAGCCCGATACATGGCTCCTAAGGCTATAGTTGCAGTGTCAGAGTAAATAGAGAACAGTGCCAAACACACCCTGGGGCGACGATAAAGTCGACCTCCTCCGGCAGCCAGGGTATTGCAAGTGGCAACGTCAGCTTCAGGATCGCAGGCGGCAAGCAACAGTCGAGAAACGTGAATCCTGATCCCCAACCTTGGCAGGTCATGACAACGACTTTGAGACAGCTCAACCCGAAGCGGTCCTGGCAAAGCCAATGTAACGGTGGTCACCACATGTCACCATCAGTGAGTGGCTAGAACAGAACTTGCAGACATGTTGAACGATCACACCAAAGTCGCGAAACCCGTTCATTTGAGGATACAACGACCCCAGTTGAAACCAGGCTCTGAAGCGTCTGTCGTCAAAAAACCTAGACGCTCAAAGGGGGCCACGCGGCTTTCATAGGGAGTCCCAGGCGTTTAGCATAGCATCTGCCAGTCCCATCATACGCATATAAAATATAGGCCATCACTGCTATGCTCTCATACCCTGAAAGACTGAACCGAACTCCAAGACGCCTTAGTTTTCTCTCGCTTGGAGAGCGTTCAATTCCTGGTAATGTACACGTTCCGAAGGCCTGAACCCTGAAGCTTGCAACCCAGAACATCAAGCCAAGATGCAGCTTGCAAGCCCTTCCGGTCCGAAGGAAGGATGGCAGCAGGGATAGGGCTGAAAGTGCTCGTGCCAGCACCTCGTTATTTTCTCAAGGCATTTAAACCACCAGAAGCTCTTTAGTCCTGGTTGGGGAACCGCAACTGTCCTTAATATAGGGTCTCGAAAGTAGGGGTCTTTGTTTCCCGTCCTGAAAATAGGGGTCCTCTTACTTCAGGTATGCAACGGTGCCCCTCCATTCTGAAACCCCATCTCTGCACCAAAGACAACAATGCCCTTATGTTGATCGGCCCTCCTTGCGTCCCAAGGAGCTGCTGGCGCAGGACACCCATGTGAAGCTGATCAACAGCACCGAAGAGGTCCAGCCGAGCGTGGGAGGGCGGGACCGGGCCGCCAAAATCCTGCAGGGCTTGACCCGGGCTAGGCCCAGAGACTGAGACTTTTAACAATACACAGGTTGGTCTTAAAGGATTCTCCATGGATGTTGAGCCTGTGGAGTTACCGCCACAGGCGTAGCTACAGCTTAGTTGATTTGGATCCTCCCAAGACACGCCAGGAACGGTAATGAACCTCGGATCCGGCTGGATCCTCCGCTGCAGCCAGTCTGGCTGGGAAGACAGGAACTTCGAAGCTCTGTGCGACAGCCTCTTCTTGCAACAGTTCCTTACGTCGCCAAGAGCTCAAGAAGCAAAGGTGAAGCTTTTCAGGATTATTCTCAACCGCACGAAACCTGCAATGGAAGCAAGCTTCAAGTTCTCAAGCATGTGCCGCTCACTGCGAGACGATGGAATCACCGAAACCCCTTGGCTGGTGGCCCAATTCAGAAGAAGCTGGGCCACGGTAAGACCTCGAAGCTTTGGTTATATAGGGTTTCAGCACGTGTGGCCTTGGGGCTTTTTGCAAGGTTTAGGAGTCTAGGGTCGAGTCCTACAACCCACAACCCAGAGAACACTTTTATCTTTACTGACTCGGCCACCATGTTCGGTAGAGGAACCAACTGCTGCACTATCTCATGACACCTCGCATTGCTGGATGGGTCAATGTCAGTATACGAGAGGTGGCTGAGTTGGTTGGTTGGTTGGTTGGGTAGGTCGGTGGGTAGGTCGGTAGGTAGGTCGGTGGGTAGGTCGGTAGGTAGGTCCGTAGGTAGGTAGGTCGGTAGGTAGGTCGGTCGGTCGGTAGGTAGGTAGGTAGGTAGGTAGGCAAGGTAGGCAGGGTAGGCAGGGAGGTAGGTAGTTAGGTAGGTAGGTAGGTAGGTAGGTAGGTAGGTAGGTAGGTAGGTAGGTAGGTAGGTAGGTAAGTTGGTTGGTGGGTAGGTAGGTAGGTAGGTAGGTAGGCAGGCAGGCAGGCAGGCAGGCAGGCAGGCAGGCAGGCGGCAGGCAGGCAGGCAGGCAGGCAGGTAGGTAGGTAGGTAGGTAGGTAGGTGGGTCAGGCGAGGTTTGGTTCGGCTAGTTTCGTGAGCAAGTTAAGTAGCTAACTTGCTTGCTAGCTAGCTAGCTAGCTAGTTGGTTAGTTAGTTGGCTTGCTGGTAGGCTGGGTGGTTGGTTGGTTGGTTGGTTAGTGATCTATCGAGCTATTGAACATCCAATACTCTATATATATATATATATATATATATGTATAGATGTGCATATTCAGAAATCACCTCAGCATGCTCTTGATCATGCGTACTTACAGCGGCATTTTGCCGCAAAAAGCTTTCAGTCCCTCCCAGCCGCCCAGCCTTCCTCCTTCCCCAGATCTGCGAGCACACCGTCGCCCAACCAATCGGAGGCAACTCCTGCGAGTAGTCTCCCACGGGTGTAGGTAGACGTGTAGAGCCTTAGGGGCTTCGGGTTTATGGGTTAGAGATAGGCGTTGCGGTCCAGGGCTGCCAAGCAAGAACCAGTCCGCGGGTTGCTATCTGTGACATTGCACTAGTCGCGGTAGCAGCAGCAGTAGCAACAGAGATTGTGTCGTCGTCGTCGCCGCCATCGTCGAAGAAATAAGGGATTGTCTTGATACTTGATACTGATGTCATTACAATTGTAAATAAGAGGGCATTAGTATGATTGCTAATATCAATACCTACACCACCGAGTGACAATCACGATGCTGCGGGGGAGCTACAGTTCCCGTATCTGAGGAGTTTGCGAGGTTTATGGCGCTTGGAACAAAGGTGCACGTGGCGACCTGGAGCACGCAGAAGTCCAGAAACACCAAACCCAAAACAACCCTAAACTAAGAACCCCCATCTGAGCCTCCCAAACTGCCATAGGCCACCAGCTGCACGCCGTGCTCCTTAGACCAGGCGAGGAGGTCCGCGCGGCGCCACCTGCTTCGGTCGTTTACTGGTTTCGCGAGTCTTGGCTTTGATGGGCTTTCCAGGCTCTTCTCTGGATCACTCTCTCTGTTTGCTGGAAACGCCTCTTGTCCGTTAAAACTTATTGAACGTTGAACATACTCACATATAAAGCCGACATACCAAGTCCAGACTCAAACTCCAAACCGCTATAATCATCGGGCTCATGGAGCTTATCTGTCCGTGGTGGAGTTCATGTCAAGCGAAAAAGTTGCAATGCTGCCCAAGACAGCCCTGCTTGTGTCAAGACGCTCGGAACAATACAGTCAAGAGCGAGGTCTCTTGTTCCAGGCAATTCTCGATTCGTGAAGCGCGGTACAGGCATACTTCACTGTTGTCACTGGCTGCAGAATACGACCCGGGGTGCTGTTCTTGGGCCTGCTCGTGTTCCTTACTCACTGCTACCCGCCACCAAGCGAACGATCTCCTCGACACAGAGCCCTGAGTTCGCGAGCTGCGCGAGATCTCAGGTCTGGGGTGGATCAGTTCTCCCGTCCTGTAAGGGACGAGTCGGTGCTGTGACATTGCTTGAAGCGTCATCAATTCCAGCAACGGGACAGCTCTCCCTCAATGGCCACCAATCGAAGCCCAAGTGGAGCCTACCGTCTTTTGCCTCGTCGTTCACGTTGACTTTTGGGCGCACAATCGGAAAACCGCCCTTGGGCCTTAGGCCTTGACAAAGGGGCCGTTGCCACCCTCCGCCTCAACCGAACCGCCCGAACAGCCGCAAAAGGACCGGCATCGAACGAAGCAACTCCTGAACCCGCTGAGCCATGGCCCCCACTTTCCGATCGCACACCCAAGGGGTACTCTTAAACAAGAGGCTAATTAGAGTGATGACTGTGACGGACCAGAATTTGTGCTGAAGGCTACCAGCCAAGTTTATCTTGCAATCTTTCAGTGCCGCTCAACTCCCTGTTCTTGTCTAGAATTTAGAACAAACACAATGTCATGCACGTCGTCGCATCTTCCTCCCATGGCAAGATGCGCAAGGTATCCCCCCAACTCCCTCGGACCCCGCCACGGGTGGAACTCGATCTGCAAGACATCGGGGAGCGAGTGCTGCGTCTCCAGCTCCGCCAAATGGGGCAGCTCCTTTGCTCTGTTTCGGCTTTAGCATCGGCCGGAAAGAAATCAAAACTCAAGTTGACACTTCGTGCAAACTTTGGCAGAGGAGAAAAATCGAGTACTCCTAGTAGCCTTCCAATCGGCGAGAATCCAAGAAAAGGTAAGGGTGACACAGTGAGAACGGCAAACCTGCATAAATCCGAATCCCTACGAACACCCCCATGCAATCATTGTAAACTCGTGAAGCCTTTTTTATCAACACCGTTGTCACTCCGAAACCTCCCAACTACCAAACCCCTATCCTAAACCCCAAACTCCAATCCCTAGACACTAAACCTTTAACCCAAACCCTGACCTTAAACATCGTTAAACAGTAGCCTCAACACCCAGGCGCATAGTTGGAGACACCGATTTGACGGACTTCTCCGGCGCGCTTCAGGGACTGAAGCGCCTCCCACGTCGCGCGCCGGCACTCCGACCAGTCCTGGGGTTGAAAATCATAAGGGTCTCAAATGTGGGTTTTTTCCGCGAGGGTCTTACACAGGTACCATTCGGGTTCTGTAGCGATTTGTTTGGGTCTGGGTTTTGGGATTCTGGGTTTAAGGACGATCTCGGGGTTCCACGTTCGGAGTGTTTTTGCTTATAAGGTTGTTAGGATTTAGGGTTTAGGATTTAGGGACCCAGTCACCTCTGTAATGGGCTGATGCTCGCTGCAGGGTAAAGAAGCCAAATAGCACCAAGCTCAGTAACCTGCGTTCATCAGCTGTGAATATACAGTACTGCACATACACGAAACACAGCAGCTGCCACCAGGATGAGAAGGGGCTAGCGGTTTCGGGCTCAGTATGTAGGGTTCAGGTTCAAGGGGTTAGCGCCGTTCAGACGAAGTCCTTTATCCCAAAGCCTGAAGACACGAAGATCTACCCTGAACCTGTAATCCATGTAGGCCCTAAGCCCTAAGCCCTAGGCCCAGGCACGCCCGGGAGCTCGGCTCCGCGGCCTCGAACGCAGTCCGGGTCGGAGCTCCGCTTGGGCCAGGCCCGACCCGGCCAGTGAATCATCCTTGGCCCACTTTGCCCAAAGTTTCTGGGCTTACGCAAGGAGTCTAAGGACCTCAGGGCCGTTAGGGCATGTGCTTTGAGCCTCGAGCCTTCAGGACATGATACTGCGATCCACCACAGAACAAGTACTGCGGTTCGAGCCTTCGGATCTGAGCGATTGCCTTCCGTATTCATGGTCTTGGATGTAGCAAGCATTGGCACCTCAGCAGCAGCATCAGCAGCAGCAGCAGCGATTGAGAACAAAAGGGTAAAACGAATCTTGAAAACCCAAACGCCTGAGAAGCGGGCCGCGAAAGCAGTCTGGAAGGGGTAGCGTCCCCCGACCCGCCAAACGGACTTACTTGGCCGACCGAACCACACGGCATGACAAACGGGCACCGCACCTTAGCGATAAATTATACGATGCCTGAGCTCCTCGAGATTGCGGAAAACCTGATTGATGTCACCCCAAATGCCACAGTGATCTAAGCAAGGATCAGCAATAACATCAGGAAAAGCGACAGAGATCATCCCGCAAGCTTTGACAAGAACCCGAATAAGAACAATAGAAACACTATAACTAGCAAGAATAGCAATATAGTCAAGAAAGATAAGCATACTAGTAAATCATGAGAGCCACCACGACCACGACAGAAGCAGCATGGGACGTGAGAAACAACAGCGATATCATTTCAGGCTAATCAGGTGAGCTAGAAACAACAGCAAAAGCATTTCAGGCAATGCGATGAGCTAACAGACTAACCGCGCAAGTAAGTCATGTAGCACATTCCTGCAAACCCATAGGTGCAGTTAGTGCCATTGCAATCTAACTGAGAATGTTGCGAGCTGGTGTTTCTGCGGCATGTGGACGTGTCATATTCTTCCTAACATCCGCAGCGATGAAAATGCTTGACTCTACACGAATACAAGATCGATTATTTCAGAGTAGTGCAGACAGAGTCTGACATTGGAACAACAGGAGCAGTAAGCTTCACGCAGACCTCATGAAAACAAGCCCTTGTACTCAGCAATGGTGAACAAAGTAGAAGAACAATTGCTGGCAAAAGACCTAAGTCGTGATTCCTGACCATTGACCCCACCTCAAACATGGTGCGAACCTTTGAAACCCTTAACCCTATTCCCTAGACCTGCAACTGCGACTTCAATGGTAGCCCCAGCAGCAAGCAATCCACTGGCCGCCCGATCGTCCTCCGCGCCTCGGCAGCGGCTTCCAGCGTCTCGTCGAACCCCATGCGCTCGGGGGGAATCTTGGAGGTGATGTAAACCTGTTTGGCGGCTGGTCGCTGAAGTCTGGCATTCATGCGTGTCGGGTTCAGTCTGCCCAAATCCAGGCTGGTCGGTCGCTAGCTTGGCGCCTAGGGCTTGGTGATATGCTAGCTTGATTGCCGCTTGATGCACTCCCGGGCCGTCCATCTTTGATGCTTTGAACTCGCACTTTGGAAAAAGCGAATGAAGGCAGGAGAAGAGCAGGAAGAGACACTTGCCAGCAGCTGCAGCCACCCGCGCTCTTACCCCTCACATCTTAACGGCAGCTTCGACGATGTCGTGGCCATACTGAAAAAACCAAGCTGTGTAAAAGAGGGGAAGTAGGGAAATGATCTCCCGCCTGCAGGGCTCAGCAAACCAAGGGGGTGCCTAGCTGCGGCGGCACTCTGCGGTGCAAGCACCCTCCCACGCTCTTGAACCACAATTACCACGAGAAACCTCCCACCTCTTTTGGTGGCACGCCGCTCTTTTTGAGACCCTCCTGCAAGCCCTGGTCGTGGCCGTACCTTTCAGTATTCGCACAGTGAAGCTGGCTTTCCGATTTGGGGTTTGGTTCTTTGGGCGCTTCGGGGCCATCAAAGTACCGCAACCTCCAGATCCAAACCTGCGAATTCCTGAGATCCACAAAACAGGGAGGAACCCTGAAACCCTAAACGCTGTACTAGTTCCCCGACACTCATTCGAAGCAGGACCGGCCCGCGAAACCTTCAAAGCATGGGTGCATGAGTGCGGTGTCGACGGCTCGCCCGCCGAGCCTAAGCCATGCCTCCAAGCTTTGCGTGTCTGTTTTATGGAGATGGGTTTAGGGCTTTTGGGGTTGCTGCTTGATTTTCCGGCCTCAAGAATCAGAGCTTCGAACATACATGCTTGTAAGCTGCAGAACTTCGGGGCTTAAGCTCTCCGCACCGGGGCAGAGGGTCCTCCACAGCAGCGGCGACTCCGACCGGGTCGTGGTCCAAGTTGCCGGCCAGGCCTTCAACAAGAGGCCACTACTTTTTTTGCTGCCTGCTCTAACAACACTTTGTCCTCTGCGTCCCAAAAATCCGACCCTCTAAACACTGGAACATCACCGAGGACCCGATGAAAAACTGAAAGCAGCCGCTTGAAGTGATAGCCCAGGCCTAAGCCAATCCTTGGTAGCGGCACTCCCGCCCCGGCGCTGCGCCAGCTTGCCACGAGGAGAAGCCAAGGTGCCATGCAGACGGCTGTCTGGGGATGGTTATACGTTATCGTAATAGAGGGTTTAGCGATAGTGTAGCTGTTGAAAACAAAACCGCTCATTGTCACTGAAACACCATCCGGTTCGTCGTGCTTCATTCTTGTGATAAAGACAAGAGAGACAAAGTGGCGTTATTGGCTTTACATGAGTGCCGCGCAGTTGTGGTTCAAGGTTTGGGGCATACGGCTTTTGGTCCTGCGGGTGTGGGGTTTCTGGTTTGAGGTTAGAGTTAGAGTCTCAAATTTGCGCTGAAGGCGGGGGTTTGCTCCTTGCCGTCCTGGTGCTCAGAATTTTGCTGAAGGATTTGGTGTCTGCGACAAGGATGTTGACTGCACTCTACATGGGCCACTGAGGGCTGCTATCCAAAAAGAGCTCAACACCCCAACAACATAATACTCCTTCGGAGAGCCCAAGTGTCGAAGCGTCGTTGCAGGTGTCAGCGTCCGCACGTGTGGCAACAGTGGTGTTTTTTGTTGGTGCAGGCGCCGCACTTGGGACTTTTCCCGTCCTGCTCTAACTCCTCGTCATCACCAACTACATCCACCATCACCGCCGCCATCAGCATAAGCAACAGCAGCAGCAGAAGGCATGCAACGTGAAACTGACCTTGGAATCATTGGAATCCCAAAGTCTGAACAGTACACAGCGATGTCAGCTATGGTGGGTTCGATTCTGACAATTAGTACTTAGTGTTCCCAAGACAAAAACCGACAGTCTGCAACCCTGAACCCTGAACCCTGTGGTGACTGCCGGACCCCCAACGAAACAAAAACAAATCGCATTACCAGCCGTGCTTTGCCATCTTCCTCGAAGGTCCGGGCAAAATACGGTGAAACCGCCAGCGGCCGCAGCGCATCCGTGGACGCAAGCACGTGTAGCACAGAGTTTGGAGCAGCTCCAAGGAGAAAGCAACTTCGAGCGCACCTCATGTTAAAAGAGAGCAAAGCAAAGCAGAGACTGGCAAGAAAAGCCAACCAGACCGGGTACTGAAGCTGACCATCGCGTCACCAGAAGCTGGAAGGTCCTTGCAAACAACACGCTGCATCTCCGTTCTAACACTGCCCAGCGAGATGGGGTCGACAAGCACTGTGCCGTTATGTTCCCAAACGCTCGGAAGCTTGAATCCTGACAGGCCACCACTCATCCCCGCTCCCGCATAAAGGCTTTGGCCACAGGGACCGTTTATGGAGCTTTCATTGCTAGTCTGTGAAAGCAGCCGCAGCGGGGACCGCCGCACCTTCAGTGACAAGTAGGCATACGTCCCACCTGACTTGCTGTTTGGGGTGAGGGCAACCCTTTTGTTGAAATCCATAGCCTCACTGGCCAGGTCGATGGAGCCTCTTTCGGTGAAGACCTCGTCCCAACCTGTATCATCTTCCCAGACTTCCACATAGAGCCGATTGTCACTCAAAGACGACGTGCGGATGTTCACGCACGACCATCCGTCATCAAAAGCTGCCTCACCGCCACTCATATGCTCATATCCTGTGTAGTGGCACTTCCCCATGTAGCACCACCCTGCATAGGGATCATTCGAACCCAACAACTCCAAATCTCCATCGGTTTCGAATTTGTATAGGTCCACGCACAATTGCTCGTCATTTGCCTGAGAGGTGCCACCAACTGCATCTGCTGCAACTGAAGAGGTGGCCCTCTCCGTCAGATAAGCCACGTTGCCCTCAAGACCTTAGCTTGACATGATAGGGGTAGTCGAAACCTTCAGCTACGGCATGTTGAGTTAGTATTAGTAGCCACTCAGTAGCCACTCAGATACAGCCCCTTCTTGCCCAAGATGGAACTACATCACGCAGACGTCAGGCCAGGCTCAACTGGGGCCGGAGCAGGCGGAGGCTGAAGACATGATTTCCTGATCGTAGCTCAGATCCAGGGAGACGCAGGGAGCCAGGGCCACTGCCAGGTCTGCCGAGAAGTCCTTCAGGTCCGGCGTGGACGTGTTGCCGGAGCTGGAAACGGTGCCTAAGGTGTAAAAGAAGCCCTCGGAACTTGTCCAACCGACCTTGGCTTGCACAAAAATGCTCTCCCCATTGCCTACTCGCCCGTACCTAGTGAACTATCCATGTCAACAATGTTACTAACCAAATTAATTCCATCTTATACCTGTCAATGACCTCCGCGCCAGTCCACTCATAGACCCGCTTCGTCTGCAAAAGGCCTTGGAGAATGCTCCGGACGTCTGCTTGGCCCTTGAGCTCGTAATTGGCAAAGATGCCCATATTCACTGTCCAACTGTTGATCGTGCTCACGAGGGTACCGAACATCGGCATCACGAAGCCTATGGTGTTCAGTAGGTTTCCGGTCCTCTGGGAGAAAAGCTGCGTCCAGTTAGAGCTGATGATGGACTGTGGTCCGTTCAAGCCCAGTTCAAGGTTGGCTTCAAACGCCGCGGACAGCTGCAAGGAGATCCTCGTGGGTTGGCCAAGACTGTTGGTCTGGAGCTTGAAGGCTGGAGTGATATCTAGCAACGCATAGCAGTTGGAGCATGTAAATGGCCCTACCACATGGCTTTGCGAGGCTCTCTGACTTTCACAATCGTAGTTCAAGCTGTATTGGTGCTCTGTTGAACATGCCTCCAGCCGACGGTCGGCTGAACGTCCAACCGGATGCCATGACAGGTCGATGTAAAGGTCGCGGAAGATCTCGACGGGGCTGGCGGGAACAACCCGAAGGCGGGTGCAGAGCGACCTGGAAGTGGCCAAGGCCTCCACTTCCATCACACGCAGGAGCAGGCCAGAACTTTGGATTCGAGAGTTCCGAGACGTCGCAGGGATGGAAAAGCTGCACTGCCACTCCGGCGAACCTGAGATTACCGCATCCTTCCTCAGTGCTGCCGCAGCTGCTTCGGTCAGGTTGGCCCAAAAGATTTCCAAATGATCCTCTCGCCCCGCGGTGCAACGGATCCCATGCACGCCCTCAGAATCCAAGTTGAAAACGTGCTCTACTTTGGGAGCACCGGCAAACTCGTAGTTGAACTGATAACCCCCGTCTTCCACCTCGAAACGCAGGCGCTCCGGCTTCCCTCCTTCCTGGGCCAAGCGCCGGCTCCGACGAAACAAAGCGGGATCCGGGAAGGGCTTCCGAAAAGTTGGTCTCTGCAGAACGTCTTGTTCGCCTTCCGCCGCTGCCAGCCCTGCCAAGACGGTGACGGTGAAAGCCAGCTTCATGGCTCCAGTACAAGGCCAAGACGGCCAGCGCAGTCCGAGATCTGCTTTTGTGAAACAATCACGTCCCTATCCAGCTTTTCGCTGTGCATGTAGACACTCCGAGATTTTGGAACTCCGCTGATGATTGCGAGGCAAGTGTTGAATTTGGGATGTCCCAGCAGCGAGCACATTCCCCAACCAACAGGCCGGCGCAAAACCCAAGACTCGACACCCCTAGCAACACAACACACGAATTTCGTGCTGCCTCTACTCGCTTGGAATCTTTGGAATCTTTGCAAGATACAAAAAACAGCGGATCGCAGCTTCTGGGTGTTGAGAAACATTGCAAAAGTGCTCTCTTAGCTTAGCTTCGTTGGCAACTGTCCTAGCCTCGAACGAAAAAAGCAGAGCGGCGCACTGTTAAGGAACGTCCCTAAGGGTTTTTAATCATTCACAAAGTCGGACACTTTTCTTTTCCACTAGTGGGACGTGTCCTGTCTCTGAGCCTGAACGTCATAGACGGTTCACGGCTGCTCCCTCAGCATTACAACTCACGACAAACTGCGTGTCGTTACAATGCAACTCGTGTAACACCCCGCATTCGAAGTTAGTGCAAATCAGGACTCAACTGGTTTTGACACACTTCCTGAACACACGCTGTTTGAACTACCTTCCTCGTCGCAGATTTTCACGTCCACTTTCAAATCTCTCCGAATTTGCTGTTTCTGGACAAGGGTTCCTTTACAATACACAAAAGCTCTGGTCGTACCGGGGTCATCATCTTGCCACACAAAACAGCTCCGTTCAACTAGACTTGCATTGCTTTAGCACTAAGTAAGATGCATTTTTTGTGACCGTGTTGCATCTGTCAGGCTTCGCGGCTAGCTGGCGGAGGTAGAGGCTAGCCGCAGGCAAAAATCCCCCCCGGCTAGGCTTTGTGAAAACATCGGTGAAACTGGTATGTATGCAGGCCACTACATGAGCTCTAGGGAGAGCTCGTAGGCAAAAACGACTTTCAAAGGCTAAGTAGCTAGGCTGAAGGTGCGGTCTGTTGGGCTGTCGTATCCTAGCAAAGGCTGCTGAGGCGGAAGCCACTAGGGGGGTCCAACCTGAGGCGTTCAATTAGACTTGCACTGCTCTGGCACTGAACATAGGCCTTTTTATACCGTGTTGCATCTGTTAGGCTCGCGGCTAGCTGGAGGAGGCCCTGGCTAGAAGCTACATCAACAATCCCCCCAGGCCCCAAGCTAGACTTGGTGAAAGCGTAGTGAAACCTGTCTGCGAAGGCCTTTAACTGGGCTCTACGGAGAGCCGGCTAGATGTAGGCAAACCCTTAGCGGCTGAGAATGTAAGCCTCGAAGCTCAAGGCTGGGCAAGAAACGAGGCAGAACCTAGCAGAGGCTGCTGAGATACAGGCAACTGTTGAGTCCCGCCTGAAGCAGGCTGGACAGGCCGTGAGACTGAAACTTGTAAGGCTTCGCTTCGAACGTGAGTCTAATGAACAGGATGTGGAACAAATACTTGGCGTCGCAAGGTCGGAGAGGGTCTTGGGCGGGTTCTTATTAGACTAACTTAGGATGAATGAAGCGAGGCTAATTTAGGAGGAATAAAGCGAGAGCATGGCTCTAAAGCAGGGTAGTGGCGTGGCTTGAACTTTGCGAGCTACTCCGGGCAAGGCGAGGCAAAGCATGTGCTCTGGAGGCTCCCTCTATCGGCACAAAACCGCGAAAACCAACACGCAACGTGAAACGCGGGGATTCTAGCTGCTTTTGCAAATGACAGACAGAACAACTTCATTCTGAAAGAAGTGTTCCACAAAGCACGTAAAAACCCGAAATATAACTGCATTTGTAGAGGGTTCTGCCATCAAAACACACCACCGGCAAAAGATATCGCCGGGCGCGGCGTCGCGCGCGGTAAATTAAACCACTTAAAACGCCGCGCCGCCCGCAGGGCGGCGCGGCGTCAGCCGCGCCGCTCCAGATGCCACGCCGCCTTTTTTGCTGGCAAGCGCACCTAAGACCGCTCTGCCGGCCCCATTGGCGCGCCTTTCTGAAGGCGTGG